CAATAAAAAGTACGCAAAAGTAAGAATTACAGTTGCAAGTCACATCCAATCAAAAAATTGCAAAACTGTCCACTAGAATATTAGAAATTATGCGTTAAAAATTTCTTCTAACTGAGAAAAACAGATGGAACAATTTTATAATCCTCACTCATTTATAATTATCATGTTTTCTAAACATTCATTGCTTCAAATATTGCTTTTTCATTGTCAAAACACAGCTTTTTATTACATGTCCTAAACTTTTGGTAGAAATGTTCATACAACTTTATACGCAATGAGAAGAAGAAAAACAAGAAGAGTACGGAAAGAGGCATTCCTACGCCGGGTTCATTTGTACTAACTTTTATTTGACAAATAAAAAGTATCCATTACAAATAATTGTAAACTGTATATCTTATAATATAATAATACACACATCGTGATAATCCCTCTCTCTCTCTCTTTATCGTACATTCATCTATTTATCTCCATTTGAATTGTTGCTCAGGCATACCACTCTCTCCCTCTGTCACACCCTCCCTCGACCCTTCCTAGATCATAATTAAAAAACCTTTCTTCTCTCGGTAAGCGCGCATACACAGACGCACACAATAAACGCACCAGTTTCATTCCTACCCACGCATCATTTCGTGTGTATACCGTATGTATGTACGTATATATATATATTTATTTATATATATATGTATTTATGTATGTATGCATGTATGTATCTCTGTTGCCTGTTCTTTCGCATAAACCTTATCAGATAAATCGGCCTCGAGGTCAATGGAAAAATTATTCAAACTCCGTGGAAAATAAATTTTCTGTCGACGACTGGCAATTTTAATCCACCGACGATTACAAGGATAAGAAAAAATAAAATATTAAAATGCATGAACAAAAGAAAATGCGTCAAGTCTTAAATCTACGTAATGCAGCTCTGCTAATTAAAGATCCGAATGATTATTTATTAGAATATTTTCCGTTTCTCTCGAGGTCGCGAAATAGACGGTACGATCGATCGCGGATCGAGCGAAAATGCACGCGTCCCTCGTTACGAGGGCACGCGCGGACGTAAAAAAATTCCGTTTTCGTATATTCTTCCCTTGTTTCGATATCCCAGTGAACAGGGGGTGGACCGACGGAAAGGAGGAGGGGGAGGTGATTTCTCTTACGGAACTTAAGAAAATCGTGTCGTTCGATCGGATGCGTTAAAAAAATGCCCTTCGCAGCGTCGTCGAATCCTGATCGCGGATCCCGACGATTTCGCTTGGTTATCTCTACCGTTGTTTCGTCAGAAGGCTAAGTGTTTAAGGGATGGAGAAGAGAGAGGGGTGGGGGTGCGATTTCCTCGTCAAGGAAGGGAAATAGGACGAGTTCAAGTCGGAACTTAAGGGCGGCTTGTTCAATTCTCTTATATCCATTTTTTTTACTCTCTTCGAAATCGGTTTTTCATCCCCTAAAAAGAATACTCGTCTTTCCATGCCATGCAATTTAGAAACGCTTTAAGAAACTGATCGACGATGAGATTTTTAATTGAAATTCTATACACCGTGCACGGAAACAGACGAAAATATTCTTTTTCAGAAATCGAATTCGATGTTTGGTAAATCCCTAGCTTAAACTCTGAATCGCGATAAAATTCCGTTTCTCCTTTCCTTCCTTTATCCTACGTCAATGATCGCAAGGTACAAAGAGATCCTTCTCTCGCGTGTAACAGTACTACTCGCCGCCTTTTAAAAGTCCGTAAGTCCATCGACGCGCACTTTACAACTCAAACTCTCTTGCCATGAATAGTTTGAAATTCGCAAAAATAGGTAATCGATTTCCTTTGTAAAATTTTATTTACAATCGATTAAAATAAAATTGAATCCTTCCAAATCCGGGTAAATGAAACTCAATATGTACATCGAACGTGACAAAAGAATTATAAAGTCGTGATTCCTTGCATAAAAAGCCTTCTAACTAAAAAAAACATAATCATAATTCAAACAGCCCTTTTAAATGCTTCGGCAATTATGAAAAAATCTTCAAAAGGAATTCTCAAGCTTCATCGAAAAATTCTGTATCAAAAAGAATGTTAATGCACTCGACTTATTACTAAGACATGAAATCGAAACTGTGTCACATCGCCGGGATTTTAATCGTAATCAAATGACCAAGAATAGCGCGATAAATGGCACTTGGCGAACTGAGATTACGCGTATCGGATTGACAACGAATGCGGCGCCTGGACTGGACTTAAAAGCGTTTTTACAGAATGGCTCCCGTTCGTTTATTCTATCACTTTCTAAGAGACGCAGCATTGTCAGGCTTCGTTGCAAGTATCTTTCTTTTGATTCAACAATCGTCTGTATTATAGCAATATTCACCGATGGTTTCGCGTCCTTAATAGTTTGGCCTATCACTTTCTAATAATTAGAATTCTTACACGCTTAACAGTTACGCTACGTTACAATTAATGCAAAAATTACTCTTCTTAAACGTACGAGGGTTGTTAATAGTAATTATAATTAAGGGTAATCGTGTCGGTAGAGGCGATGGTTGGGTAAAGGAAAGGGAAGTGTAATTAGTGATTCCTTCTCTTATTCTCTGTTTCTGATTTCCGTCGTATATACAAAAAGTCTTTTCGCGTAACTATTATGTAATGATTTCGATTCGCTCGTCATTGTTTCTTTTTTTCTGTGTGTTTGATTCGCCTGACGACTTCTCCCTTCCTTCGATGCTGCTAAATTTATTTTTAATGATCTTCATAGCTCGTTAATCTTAAATTATTTTGAAATCCCGATTACAAGCAGTAATTCAGGCAACTGTTCAGATTACCGTTTCGTAATAATTCCGCAGCGAGATATCGAAGAATACAGAAATATGTGCGCATCAACAGTGATTTCGATGTAAGTTAAGATTCAACGAAAAAGAGGTAAGATAGCAAAAATGAAAGTAAAACGAAAGAAATATAAAAGGATTATATCAAAACTCGTCCAGAGCCATGGAAAAGCGCGTGATCCAAAATGTTTTCGAGAAAAAAACAACTAAAAAAAAAAAGAAAATAGGTATGGGAAAAATGCGTGAGATCGAGAAACGATCCTCAGCCGTAAAAATAACGCTGTTCTTTGGCCTTCCTTAGACGAGGAGGCCTGGTTTGTCGCCTCCTCGAATGCCAATTTCGAGTTTCTCGACGTTGTGAAAAGCAGTCGATGGGTCCGTAGTACAACAGTGGATTAGAAATAGTTCGTAGAATTATTAACCGCCTCTCCTTGTTCTTTGTTCCGGCCGATCAGCGTTCGCTGTTCTCGTTTCTTCTCGCAAAGAGAAACAGCAGACGTTCCATATTTCTTTTCTGTTTCTTGATAATGAAAAAAAGGCTTATGAGCTCTCGCTTTTCAATCGGTCTTCACATTTCACGCGAAGAAGTATCCCTAAAAAAATTATAAACGCATCTTTGGCTCCCCCCGAATGCTCCCTTCGTAACACCATTTTAGTAATGGTCTGCATTCTCGTGTACGCTGTAACAGAAAACAGCATAAAACGCACTGGATTAGAACAGAGCTGACCGAACATCATTCGAGACTAATATAACAAATTTTATCCTATTTATATTTAATTTACAATTAGAATTGCGCTTCATTTATGTTATCTCACACGTACAAATAAAAGCAAAGTTAAAGACAATGATAAAACGCACTCATTCAAACACTCACAGGACGCAGGGAGGTTTCAGGCGGTTTTGTTTATTTCAGCCACAATTAGTATTTCGGTTTTCATTTACAATTTAAAAGCTAGAAGAGGAGAGAAGATCACGCAGTTCGAGAGATCGCTGGGTGTAAGGCCGCAGAGCGGGGTTTCACACGTGTTAGTTTCCAATAAAGCAGGAGGTGTTCACGGGAAGAGAAGCCGACGATCGCGAACGCCTTTGTAGGATGATTAGTGATTCCTTGTTATATCGAAAGTAGAACAACAAAATCACTAGTCTTCCATGCAACGGCGCTCGATTTCCCTTTCGCCCAACTGGCCGAGACATTGCAGACGAATCCTCCGACTCCGTCACGGTCCATTTCCTTCACCTCGGCTCTTTTTTTTTCTCTAACACTCCTTTTTGTTAGTCGCAGCGTTTGGTTAGTTCCTCGTGCGATGCGACCGCAAGCGGATTATGTTTTTTTCTTCTTCGATGATGCGATTCCTGATCGTTCGCGATGACTCAACAGGAGCCACGAAACAGCGAGCAAGTCAAATATTTAAACAATCAATGTACATTTTATCTTTAATTAAAAATAGCAATTGGTAAAATTCGCTGTTTCATGGCTCGTAAGCAGAGATTGTTAATGCACGGTCGGGTGGAGAGGCTTGTTGACGTTTTGTTGCACAATTTCTGATACGAAATTTATCAATCGATTAACAGAAATATCCTCTTATCCCCTGAACGCTGACCAGTTTTATCGAGAAAGTAATTTTTATTCGTAACAGGCATTTGTTCAACTGTTTGAATATCTTCCATTGAATTGAAAAAGTCGATGCGTTCACGGGCTAACAGCGTGGAATCTCTCCCACGGTAAAAAGCGAGATCAATACTATGATAGATACGGGGCGCGTGTTTGCGCATTAGAAGCTATCTATCGTAGAGAGACAGAGGCGTGTTTGTACAGAAGCTTCGCGCTTTGCACGCACGAAATTTAGCTCGCTGTCGCGATTAAAAACAAACTCGCAGGATTAAATGAACGAACAATGTCCGCAGAGATGTAAACGTCGGAAAATGTTAATTACACATATGTTAATCGCACATTTTGTTAATTCGGCACTCGCCGCATGTTAAAATAAATAGTATATATTGTAGATTGTAGGATGGGCGAATAAAACAAGACAAGAGATGAACTGTACATGTTATTTATTCGGCGATCAAAGTTCGACTGACCGGTTCGCACAAAAAGCAACGAACCTTTTTGGAAAATGAATATCGCCAAGCTAGATGGTAGCTCGGCCGCAGCGATGTCTGTCACGTAACACGCGCCCGCTTCAGATCGCTTCCGAAGGGCGACAATGTCAGCGTCAAACATTACATACCTGACAGTCTACAATATATAATACGATGTAAAACGTACCGTGACAAGTTAACAATAACGGAGTGCAGCAATTACCTTTGTTGAAGCAGGTACTGAGCCATCTGGATCTGATTGGGTAACCCGGTTATGGTAATAATGCGATCGTTGCTGCCGGGCAATGGTTCGTCTATAGTGATCCCGGCGCAGCTGTCCGATCTTATTTTACGGATTCTGGCGCCACCCTTGCCGATTATAGCTCCCGCAAGCTGTTAACAGAAAGACAATCGAGCTGTCGTTTAAAAGACGAAGAATTGTTTGATACGATTTTACAGAAGCTTAAGCTAGAATAGCTCAGCTAAATAAAATAAGAATCGTTGACATTTAGAAGTTGAAGACTTATTTGACGGAATTTTGAAACTCAGTTAATCTAAACTAAACGAAATACGAACGAATTGTTTTGAACGCGAAGAGAGAAAAGAAGTTTCTACTTACATCTTTAGGAATGGTGACTTGAGTGCTGGTCTTGTTTCCACCCATGTTGCCCTGGTTTCCTTGATTGTTGCCACCCATAGGTGGGCCGCTCATTCCCGAGTTAGCACCGCCACCCAAACCGTTTGGCGCGCCTCCCTGCATACCCCATCCATCACCTGCGTAAAACAAAATCATTGCACGATGATAGATCTTCCCCAAGCCAAAGCAAACCGACTCGCTCGACGGATCCCATTTGTACTAAACCAACTCCTCGGAAAGATTCATTACATCGCGTTCAGTTAAATTTAAACATCAGGACGTCGTTTATTCAAGCCTCGCGTGTCGAAATTTATTGAACAAGTTCAGAGATTTCGCGAATTATTGCAGAATCACTATTTGCAGGTAAATTGCTCTCTCAATAAACGACCGCAGCTTGCCATTGTATCCCTTAAATTTACACGACTTAGCATATTCGACTAATCGTTGGGAAATCGTCTAATCCATACGCGGAGTAATTGAAATCGATATAATCCGTAGACGCGACAGAAGCCAGGGAGTACTGCTAAGTCAAACTCCTTACCATTGTAATTTCCAGCGGCGTAGGGTGGCGGGCCACCCCTGTTGCCTCCGTAGCCGCCTCTGCCACCGTCGTATCCACCGCCTGCGCCGCCACCCCCGCGAGAATTGCCTCCGTAGCCGCGATCCGGTGGTCCACCGGACATTCCACCGCCCCCGCCGGCACCTCCACGCGGTCCACCTCTTGGTGGTGGCGGAAAGCCGCGGTTCATGTCGCCTGGTCCACCGGAACGATTGTCTCGTCGGGGTGGCATGCCTCCGCCGCCGCCACCTCCGCCGCCACCGCCACCGCCTCCGCCACCGCGGCTACCTGGACCTCCGAATCCACCGCCTTTTCCTTGACCACCGTCACCGGAACCATAACCACCGTAATCATCCGCGTAGAAGTCATCGAAGTTGTGCGGGTCGTAAGGATTGTTCACACCTTTCAACGGCGACTGGAACAAAAATGTTTCTCATTAACATCTCCCATCGCGATTTATATAATTATTATACAGGATGAATCACGAATCGTAGAAATTACTCTTTTATTAGCAGTCTAATCGAAAATGTTTTTATCAGGTTTTACACGGTTTCCAGAGAATTTGACATGATTATAAAAGATTATTTTTCAACTCTTTCTTTAATGTTTTCTCAAGGTCACTTTTAATTTCTCTACTGATCGTGATTCATCCTGTATTTAGTCAACGAGAAATCGGATTTAGTTTCATTACTCTTAGGGGATGAAACATGATTTTTATTTTAGTAGCTTAGTTTTGTATATTTTTAGTTTATCAAATGTTGGTATATAAAAACAGAGGTGAAGGCCGAGGAGTTACAGTATTATGAATTAGAATGTAAGAAATATTGTAAAAGTAGAAGGTTTAATAAATAAATAAAATA